AAAAAGACCGAGAACAAAGAGTCAAAACACGCTGTTAGCTCAATAAAGAAAGCAGAACCATTCACTGTACCATAGTGGCGAGAAGGGGCGCAATAATAGCGCTGCGCACCATCTGTGCTTCCATCCAAAATATAACTACTTTACCCTGCATGKTTTTGCATTAATTTTGTCAAAAAAAGATTTATTCATTGAAACATATTAACATTGCTTACCTCGATGTAAATYGCACTGAGGCCAAAGATATATTTAGGAGCGATTGTAAAGTATCGAACACCTCCCGGAGATACGTAAGCCGTGACAAAAGTGTTGTTCTCGTCGTCATTGAAATCCACGTCCATYTGAGAGGGAGCTGAGGAGAAAGAAGTACATATTATTTAATGTGATAAATAAACTCATCTAGAAGTGGGTGGGAGTCAAATTCGTAATAAGGTAACAGTCGGTGTAGCATACAAGAAGACTGATCGTAGAGCTGAGAACGCCTTGTAGTTCCGATCAGAACATTCATATCTATAGCACTTTCCAGTCACACGCGCACAATACAACTTGACGTTGCGATAAAATAGGGTTTTGTTGGACGTCAATCAAAGCGTTCTTTCATGACACGGAAAACACAAAGTTTTCAAGGGCATGTGCCTACAGTTTAATTGGCATCCACTAAAGCTCACTTTGTCGCGTGTTCGTCACAACAAATTTTATGACTTCCAGCGTGTGTTTGGAAAGCATTATTACATATTCACTACGAAATTTACTTTTGCAAGTTCTGTTTTGAAGTGCTTTTATAAGGCCCAGAAGTTGGTCAAAATTACTCGCAGTAAAAACGTGTTTTTGTGGATCTGTTGCTACAAGCTGTAGTTCACTGTAGATGTATTCACCCACACCAACAGCTAACATGGTAAGATCTGAGGAGTAAAGAAAATAYACATTTGGCATAATAAAAAATAATGGGAACGGAGCTGCGCCCATCTCAGTTTATTTTTACTAAGTTCCCTCCTCAGATTTACAGGATTTTAGAGGGGCATATCAAAAACTTTCAGGTGATCTCGTTTTGACAGCCCATCGAGAGCCAGCCAATCATCGCGCAGAAAGAAATCTGATCAGTGGCGGTCCATCGAAAAAAAACATGGCGACCGAAGAGAGAAAAAATTACTCTGAATCTTTGCTTCCCTAGCTACGTTTTGGACTAGCAATGCATTTAAAATTCTACCTATTCTTTTAATGAATACCTATGGGTGAAATGGTGTGTTGTGGTTTCAATTATTTTATGAAATTATCGTGAAATAGTAGCTCATTGTTCGCTGATAAACAACTCAAACTAGGGGTCGTCCTTCACGAATTTGCAAGATGTGATTCTGCTGGAGGGCACACATGTGTAGAACAATAGAAAACAATGACCTTTCCCAACCCCGCCCCTAAACCTAACCAATCACAGGAGACGTTGCAAATTCGTGAAGCTTAACTCCAAACTAGAACCTCCTCATCAACTACAACAATCCTTTGCGCGCGTTCCCCAAGATCATCACCTGGTTTGTTAAAAAAATATCATGAACGTATAGACAATGAGTTATTACTAAAGACCAAACTTTAGTTCTCATTGTAACTCAATTTAYTTATTTCTTTTATGTTAACTCTATATATCTTAAGAATAGATACAAAATGGCAGACAGGAATATTGAGAAGTTCATCTTTTAGAACAGTATTGATGGTTTTCACAGCCGCCATGTKGGATGAATTTAACAAAAGATTCGTCATTAGTCTATTTTTTTTTTATATCATCCAACATGGCCGCCGTGTCTTTTTTTATTCCATTCTCTTGGGAATGATTGAAAACCAGGTTTATAACAATTAAAAGAGAAGGAAATCTTACGTACCCTTGACTTCTTCCTTGATTTCTTGTACTGCCTGTACAAAAGCTGTYTTATTAGTCGCTTGGCCGTCCGTCAAGAAAATCAAAATATTGGAGACGTCGCGTCTRTCAGGTRAACTTCCTCTTTGGATGGGCAGAAATATCTGRTCTTTGACYAATCGCAGGGCTTTTTCCATGTGTGTAAACCCGCCTAAGATAAATAGATTCCACTATTATTTGRTKRTACTSCAATKGYATAGTTYWGTAATGACTCAAAAAATGATTATTTCCTTGGTCCTTKGCAGTAACCTAKCTTWTAGGCTTGGATACATACTARCCYCCTCTCMCTCCCYTCCCCYCAATCGATGGTGCTCCGTACGTGATCAYTGTTTCTATAGTTACCTTTATGAAGAAGATTGTTAATAGCGCAGCTAAGCCTCGTCTTGGACTCGTAGTCTTGGAGATTGATCGCAAGGTCTGGATCGGAAGAAAACTCCACAACGGCTACGTTTGTTTGACGTGGTGAAATGTTAAAAGCATCAATGATTTGCCTGTTMARTGACATAACAGAAACGGATACATCAATCAGGACTTCTAATTTTAAGGTCGTCGCTCAACTTGGCTCAACAAATAATTAAGTCTGGGGTCCTTTGCTACTAACTTATCAAGAGCTTGGAGTCAAAGAATCATTTGAATTGAATTTCTATAGGTAGTTTGAGATAATTCCCATGAGAATCAGTGAAACACTTAAAGGAACCACAAAAAACTTTTGTAGATTCGATCAAGATGGCAGCTATACACCGAATCTAAATATGGCATGCATTTTGAATTGCCTCGTGTTCACGTGGAAACGTAAAAGCGTCAATTAATTTTTACATTCATATGAGACGTATTGTCAAATTGGCAACCATATTTCGATTCGGTGTATAGAGCGTCTTCACTTACGTGAGAAAGCAGCCATATTGGTTTACCAAACAATAGATACTTTTCGCCCAATTTTTTCATAAAAATAGAGTTCGATTCCCCGAGGATAGAAAATGTATCATTTTGGTACCCCATAATGGCCGCTATCACGTCACGTGAAAACGCTCTAGATCCATAGAAACCAGGCTATCGGAGAATATTGAAAAAAATTAAAAAATCGCAGCCATGTTGGCTGACATGATCCTTCTATCCTCCGCTGACTCTTTCGTTCATGGGATGGTTCATTATAGTGGATATCATGTAAACCAGGAATGACAAGAAATCCCTGAWGGTTTTTTTAAGATCTAAAAGATCTTCTATGTAACACATACTCTCGTTTTTCCCCCCTGCTTGTTCTGAGAGTGGACAAAATAACGTCCAAAACTTACTTTTTTTACCTGACAAATTGTTTTTCCTTTTCGAATTCATCTTTATAAATACTTCCAGACTCGTCCATCACAAACACCAAATTTGATGACAATTCATATTCTATAAAACAAAAATAAACGTACTTACTATTGAGTTGTAAAATAAATGAAAATATTTGACGTGGATCGCGAAGGGAGTAGTCTCCCCCGCCAGTGTCGTCACGCAACGCTTTCTTCCTACTCAGTTGAGARAGCGTTGCGTGACGACACTGAAAGCGGCTGTGGGGGAGACTAGAACGGAGAGGATTGGCGTGAATTTTTTTTAACTTCTTTTATTTACACTTAATAAATATTATTAATTAATTTTTACAATTAGTAGGATTGCCTGCTATTTCCTGAGCCAGGGGCCCAAGACTAT